TAGCCAATGGAAAAAATCGACCAATGGGAAAATTGCGCGGATGGCCCGCCCCGCGGGCCAGCCAAAGTCGCCACGCCATTGGCCTGTGTCCGAGGAAGGAGAAAGGAGCAGCGCAGCCAATGGGGAGGCGGGAGGGCGGCTGATTGACGGCCCGGGGGGGCCCACCAGTGCGTTGAGCGCAACAGGGCTCAGCCGCGGGACGGGACACGGGAGCGAGAACGGGAACGGGAACGAGGAGGAGGAGGACGAGGACGAGGACGTGCTCCGAGCACGCGGATGCGCACGGAACCGGGGAGCGCAGCGGTGAGGTCCTCTCCAGCCCCTTTGCCCACTCCTTTTCCTGCAGCTCCCGGCTCCTACTGACTCCCTCCCGTAATGCTGTGAGAAAACCCAGGAGAAAAGGCACCCAAGGACGTATTTTCGCTGTTGTTGCTAGAAAATGCAGACAAAACAGCAGATGTTCCTGGGACATCATGAGATGATATGGACAAAACAGCAAAGTGTGGTTGAAGACAAAGATAAGAACTGCCGCATCTTCAAGGAACTGTCTGGGACTGGGCAGTAGGGCCTCTGAATCAAAATGGGGCCATGTTTGGAAGTGAGTTCCAGGAGGTCATCGAGTGGACACGGCGAGACGACCACCAGCAGGTCTCAAAAATCCACCTGAGACCACCAAAGGGACAGAGCGTGCATGCGCATGGGGTAGATTGTAATTAGTTTGGGGAAATAGAATGCATATGTATGATCATTCCTTGAGTTTAATGCATATATAGATGATAGAGAAATAAACATTTTAACAAACGCACCTTAGGGTGTGCGCAATAGGTTGGAGCAATCCCCTGTGCACCCAGCGCTGCAATAAAGTGAATGTCTGGTTTTAATACTACTTTGGTGTTAAGAGGTTTATTCCCAGTTTTTGGTGGCAGTTACATCAGAGGAGGAAAAGAGATGCAATTGACAGCTGCTCTCCAGCAGCCTACACTGACAGTCGCTCCCTTGTTTCCTTCTTGATGCAGGTCTGGCTCGTACTTAATCCTTCGTGCCCTCCCTCCTACCCTTCCTTTTAAAGTGAGGGAAGGTTGCAGAGCAGAACTGAAGAAAAGCACTTACAAGAGGCACCCCTGTCCCGAGGCTCCAGGCGTCGTCCCCAAGCCCGGATATCCCCGCCCAACTCATGCCACGCTTACGGGTGACACACGCCGTGCCAGGGCCCTGGGCATGCCGCTCCGCACGTGTGGGGCCTTGACACGCTTCCCTCCGCGTCCCGTTCCCGGTGCTCCTCCTCTGGGGCCGCAGGCCCTATTGAGCCTACAGCTGAGCCATCCAGGCTCTTGCAGGCTTCTCAATCCCCGCTCTAGCATGTGACTTTGTAACTCAGTCTTCAGGATATTTCCCTTAAGGAGGTGTAGGCCGAAACACACTTTTATTGAGAGTGATCTCTCCAAGTCTTCTTCCAAGTTGTTCCTAGATCACTCTTCTCCTGCTGTTCTCACCCCTTACTCTGCAGGTCTCAGTCACTTGTTCCTTCTTGTGGGATATGTAGCCTGCCAGACTTGGCTGATGGGAGTTGAGGCACCTTCCTGTCCCCAGATGAGCTGCAGCAGATGCTGGGCAGGAGCAGGAGCCCCTTCACCATAGCCCGCTGCCATAGCAGGGGCTCAGAGAGAGCTGTGCAGCAGACAGCTCCTCCGGGACAGATCCTGATCTTGCTGCCTCCGTTGGCTCGCACAGCCCTGGTGCAGCACGTTGGCAGAGCGGGACCTCAGCACTCTGGGCTTCAGCCAAAACCATTCCCGGGCTCCAGCTGACAGCAACCACGTGAAACGCCAAGGTAGAAAACACAGGTAGGAGCGACACTCTAATCCATGTCATAGCTCCCTGGGGCAGGGAAGGCAGAGTTGGCCCCCGTTGATAGAGCTGCATAGCCTGTGGTGACTTCAAGATGGCAAGGATATTCCTTTCGGAGAAGCATGGGATTCCCTGCTCAACCCCCAGGCTCACAGCAGCTCCAGGCAGAGCCAAGGCCACTGTACCCCCTGCAATGCTTTGTTTTTTGAACCTGCAATGCTTTGGTTTTGTGAACCATTCCAGGAAAAAGATCATAGAAAAACTTATAAATTAGATCTGAGGCTTTTATTAGTAACTTTTAAAGCAACTTCCTTCTGTTTCAGTTCTTTAGGAACTGAACTTTATCCAAGAGGAATTTGGAGTCTTGGAGAAGCCGTTAAGGCTTCATGTCATCCTGGTGCAGGCAGGGAGGTTTCAGCAGGTATGCCATGCTGGGTTAGCTGTTCATGGTCTGGAGATAATCCTGTATGTCTCCAGCAAGAGATTCATTCTGCGGGAAGGTTGCCTGCTTCAGACACGAAACCAAGTACAAAGGGTACGGCCTGAAAGAAAAAAGGGTATTGCAGCAGTAAGGACTATTTCTTTGCCAGACTCTCACAGTTCATTCCTTTTTCATTGCACAGTCCTCAGCAACGTCCCCAGCCTTTGTTCTCCCATTTGCTATTGCAGAGTGGGGTTGACTTTGGCTCTCTGACAGTTCTCGTGTGCCCGAGCGAGCCCTGCAGAGCCCGGCTAAGCACCAAATATCAGAAACAGCAGGAGGGGAAGCTCCTCTGACACAGCTGTGCTGCAGCCCCAGGCTGGCAGGAGCTGCGCTAGCTAAACCATCCAAATAGTTTAAAACACAAGCTGAGGGCCATGGGGCTTTCTCGGGTGCCCAGCAGCGATTGCACCTGCCTCGCCACACACCTTCCCAGCTCTTCCTGCTGCGCCTTTTCCTCAGCGGGGCTCTCCAAGAGCTTCTGCCAGTGCATGGCAGCCTCCTGCTTCCGGTCCAGTTTCCACAGGGCCTGCACCAGGTAGGAGGCAGCAGCAGGGTCACCTGCAAGACACAAGGGGGAAGTTCAGCCCTGAGCAGGGGAGGAGCAGCTTCCCAGTGCTGCTGTGCGTTGCGGGCTGTCGCAAGGGAAGCGGAAAAGCCAGATGAGGGAGCTGAGCATGAGGAGCAGGTCACAGGGAGGAGACCTTCCTGACTACATCATAGGCTCTAATTAACCCAGCCTAGCAGCCCGGACACATGCCATCAGTCCTGTGGCATAGGCAGCTGCTCCTCTGTTTAGACATGGGCCAGGGTTTGCTTTTCCAGCAGGTCTGCACCCCAAAGCAAGGCCCTGGCTGGGTGTGGGGAAAAAAGCCTCAGACGCGACTGCGAAGGCGTTCGGAGAACAGCCCTGACTGCCAATGGTCCCACCAAACCCCACAGACCCACAGTGTCACTGCTACTGTAGCATCCAACGGCTACAGATTCACCCTGGAAAGCAGCTCCGGGCATTTCTTATTCTTCCTCAGGTGCAGCTGCGCTCTCCTCTCTCCCAATATGCCACAGCCTCCAGGCTGACAGGCAAGGACATGCAGCTTCCTAGGATGAAGCAAGATACCAGCTATCCAGCTCCTGCTGTAGTCTTTGTCATTTGAATGTAAGGTCTAAAACATGAGACCTTCCTACTGAAAATAGCAAAGCAGCCCTGGAGAGAGAGAAAAAAAAAGGAAACCCAACTTGTGGCTATCCTCTCTGTTCCTCAAAAATGAGCTGCTCACCTGGTGAGATCTGCAGGCTGTACTGGAAATCCAGCAAGGCTTCCCTGTGCTTCCCCAGCTCCAGGAATTGGGTACCTCGCCCAATAAGGGACAGCAACCTGATCTTCTGGAGCAGCTTCACTTCTGGTAGGACACTCCCTAGCATGGAAAGACAAAGACTCACACCCTGGAGATGACATTCCCAGTGAGGCGAAGGCAGGTTAGCAGTCAAGATGAGCCAAATATTTGCCTGGCCTGGTTCATCTTCCAACTCCCCTGCTCCTCCATGATCAGCCAGTGCCTGAGCCCGACCTCTTTGCTGGTTCCCAGGCACATCCCAAAATGATGGCAATAACATTACAAGAGACTATCAAGGAACAAGGGACCTTCTGGAAGAGGATAGGCCAGGAGGTGGTAGAGGGTGAGAACAGAGAGCAGTGTCAGCCTGGCCCGGGCTTGGCTGCCCATCGGCAGTGGGGATGGATGTGCTTGTCCTAAGAGACTGGTGCTCACGGTGTCCACAGCACCTCCATGGTAAGAAATACATTTGCCAAGAAAGGCCAGAGGGGTGGAGAAAAATCCTTAAAACACCAGGAGCAGCACAACTGGCTTAAATCTACTCCCTGGATCGTGGATTCAGGGAGCTTCCCCGTTCAAAGCCCACTTAGCTGTCATCCAGCGCATGGGGACAAGGCAGGGCTGAGGGCCCAGCTCTGACCAAACCAGCGGGTCCCTTCAGAGGCTCCAGTGGGACATGGGGCTCAGCACACTGTGACAGGCACCCCCTGCCAGAAGTGATACTGGGCCTGGAGCCTTGCTCCTGTTCTCACTGATGCCAAAATCCTCAGATCCAGGCAGAGCCAGGCCCTGTCATACCTGCTGTTTCAACACCAGGCTGATGAAGCTGGACTCGTAAGAGGTCACCAAGGCACCTGAGGGAGGGAGGACAGAGGAACTTCAGTGCTGTCTGCTGCAAGCAGTCACACTAGCCGCCATGTCAGGCTGGG